CCTAACCCTAACCCCTAACCCTAACCCTAACCCTAACCCTAACCCTAACCCTAACCCTAACCCTAACCCTAACCCTAACCCTAACCCTAACCCTAACCCTAACCCTAACCCTAACCCTAACCCTAACCCTAACCCCTAACCCTAACCCTAACCCCTAACCCTAACCCTAACCCTAACCCTAACCCTAACCCTAACCCTAACCCTAACCCTAACCCTAACCCTAACCCTAACCCTAACCCTAACCCTAACCCTAACCCTAACCCTAACCCTAACCCTAACCCTAACCCTAACCCTAACCCTAACCCTAACCCTAACCCTAACCCTAACCCTAACCCTAACCCTAACCCTAACCCGCACGCGCGTTCAACCATACAAATTGTCGCCATGGCAGATGGTCGCACCCAACGCTCCGGTAAAACACGCAAGGCGCTCATGCACATAATGAGAGATATGGTCAAACACACCACACAAAGTCAATAAGTTCATACTGAGAAGACGCGGCCTTTCACAGCAGTTGTACCTCACTGTCCGCATAAACTGCAAGACGGCCTCCACACAACAAACGCACACACCGCCAGCAATCAACCACCAATGGACGGGGAAGAGAAGAGACACACCGCCACCGCCTCCAGTTCAGTCCCACGGCCAACGGGATACGGCCACAGCCCGCTGCCTGCACACAGCGCACACGAATTGAGCTCTCAAAGTGCCACACGCGGAAGCGGATCCTCATCCACCCATGACGCGGCGCCTCACTCCATGCGGTCACACGGAGCACATCATTTCTCCAATAGAACTTATTCGTCGTCCATCCCGCTAAGATGCCTCTGTTATTGATGGGCCTTAGAACACAATAGAAGAAAATGGGCAATGCAGTAGTACTGCGACGCCGCCAAACACAATGATTCCCTCATATCGGGCAATTCTCCAATTACGCCTCGTATACAAACACACAACTACCATACTATATAAAAATCACCCATTGTTTTTCACCAGAAACCAAACAACCCCACTCCCTCCCTAATTTCTTCTGTCACTGTTATGTTCGATAGCGTTGGTCATTTTGGCATTTGTGTGCGATATACTGCCGTCTGGTGCGGGTGCACCCGCACCGTATGCACACAAAAAAGTATCCAAAAATATATAACTCCCACAATATTTCTTTACCACAAATCAAAACTACCCCTTTCATCCCCCAATTCTTTCTCCTATTTCGTTTTTCCTCACCTCCGGAGAGCTTCTTCTCTTCAAAAGTCTCTGGATGATATTGCTGCTATGTACTGGCGCACCTCTTCCTCCCAGAACGCCGCAATCTCTCGGTTTTCAGCACGGCTCACATTATCGGAATCGACAACATCACATCTCCGCCAGTCAGTCATCGGCATGTTGTCTGCGTGCTGCACATTAATAATCTCCCACGACATGTCTCGGGATAACTCCTCCCAACCATTAAAATATGCCGCCAGGCACTCAGTGAACTGCCTCACAGTGCTGGTTGTGGTGCGGTGCTCACCCGCCGTAGTCATCCGCAGCCCAACCAGCGTCATTGGATTTGAGTCCACAAAGAAAAAGCCGTCCACCAGCGGAAAGTGTTGGACCTCCGGTTCATACAGCACCCAGTGGTCCATGGCAACCGGATTGGAAAGACGTTCCGGTGGCGGTAGAACCTCTTTTCTGGTGAAGCTCGTGTCTGAGTGCTCTTTCAGCGCACAGCTGTGTGGCTCACGTCGTCCTGGTGGCCTCAGTTCCTTGATTTTAGGTCTTATCGCACGCAGGAATTCCTTATTCAAAAATGCGGATACGGCATACTTTTCAATAAGATATGGTGGGACATAATCCCAGAACCTCAAAACAAAAAAAATAAAATCGGACTGCTTCATTTCATTCTCCAACCTGGACAAAGTTTCACGTTCGAGGTGGGGAGATACCAGCAAATTCAGAGGCGATTCAATGTTGTTTCCTCGTCGTACTCGGACAACCTTCACAAGCTTTCGAGACAAGTCATTGTCATTGGACAAATAACAGCAGCCAATACCCAAATTACGCTCTAATTCCAAAGCGGTCGACCCATCCACGGCTTGCTGACACGCTTTAATGCGGTCATCATATGCCTGTTTATCAAAGATGGAGCGGAGAATTGGTCCCACGTTATTCATGCGACCCCTCACCTCCTTCCAGTATTCCGCTTGCTCCTGCAGGGGTCGATTGCGCTTCATCCAAATGCACATTGCCCTCACATCGTTTTCTTCGGGACAATTCGTTACGATTGCAGTAGCGTCCATTTTTTTTTTCCACCGTTCATATTCGTTTTTGTCTGGTGGTGTCACCACAATCATGCCCCATCCCTTGCAAGGCAAACCAGCAGACGGTTGACGACATGCCAATGTCGCATCGTAGATACAATACCCTTTAACCCCACGGAAAAAAAAAATGTTTACAACATCCTCAATCCTGGGGTTATCCCTGTATGTTGATACCGTTTTGGTGGTCTTGTCAAACAGGAATGATTGACTCCCAATAACGTACGCAACCATTGGGAGCTGCTCCGCATCGTAGTGCAGCAGCTGGTAGAGGAGGTACGAGCCGGCAGCCATCGATTTCCCGATCCCGGGCGTCCCAATCAACACGTGCCGCTTAGGCTCAAAGTCGGCCCCAGGAAGACTGCTGAACCACTCGGTGAGATCGCCCTTGACGATCTGCCACGCTCGCTCCACCTCACAGTTCACATAGCAGTCACGAATGAGCTTATTCCACCCCCACGAGTACGGCCATCTCTTGTCCGAGGTGAGCACCATCAGCCTGAGGCGCGGTGCACCGGATTGCTCCACACCGTCATCCTTTTCGAAGGTTTTGCCAACCGCCTTGTACGTCCATGACTGCGGTGGTTTCCCCTCCTTCACATCCATTACCGTCCCCTCGCCGCCAGGAACTTCCACGACATGATGCCAACTCGCATTGTACACAGAGTCGTAGCATCCCTCCAGGTATATCGGTACAATCTTCGTCGTTGGGTTCCTCGCCTCATGAAGGGCTGCATCCAATGAGTTTTTAGTGTTGTCGCAAACACCTGCTTTTACCTCCTCAGTAGTTTTTGACCACCCAAGTAGATTGTCCACACCTTTCTCGTAAAGCTTGCGTACAGCTTCTTCGACATCCATTTCCTCCCGTACAGTCTCCACCATCCTCAAATAAGCATCGGTTATCTGTATTTCGCCCAATACTCCCGCATCAGGGATATACCTCGTGGGATCCTTGAAAAAACCCTTCAGTAAGACATCCCGATTGGCGCGCAAAATGCCTTTGCCGTCCAATTCCATCGTAAGAAAATCATTCAGCTTTATGTCCATGACGCGAACCCTTCCTCTAGATAGCACACTTCTGATCGTGGTAGTTAGGGTAAATCCTTCTCGGTGTTCCCGCGCTGCCCTTTCTCCTGCCTCACGGCTTTCTTCTCTCAGTACCTGAGTGAGAACTCCGTTTAGTTTTCCCCTTGCAAGTGGAGTGACCGTATCCTTTCCTTCATAGTCCCTCCATTGCTCGAGAAAGAGCACACCCTCGTCATGAAGCCTGTGTACATCTTCTTCCAAATCCATTTCATCCCTCACAGCCCTCTCCATCCTCGCATAAGCATCGGTTATCTGTATTTCGCCCAATACTCCCGCATCGTGGATATGCCTCGCCGGATCCTTAAAAAACTCCTCCAGCAAGACACACTCATTGGTAGCCACAACGCCCCTGCCGCCAAATCTCAGCAGAAGAAAATCGTTAAGCTTCATTTCCTTGTAGCGAAATTCCCCTTTGAACAGTACTTCTTCGATCGTGGTGGAAATGGTAAATTTCATTTCTTGCAGTCGTCTTTGCCTTTCTTCTTCCTCCCGCCTTAGCCTTTCCATTGCCTCAAGCCGTTCTGTTTTCTGTATCTGAGTGAGGGCTGCGTTTAGTTTTCCCCTTGCAAGTGGAGTGACCGTATCCTTTCCTTCATATTCCCTCCATTGCTCGAGAGAGAACACACCCTCGTGATGAAGCTTGTACACCTGGTACGCAGTTAAGTTAAGAATTCTTCTAAGAAGCTGCTGGTCTTGTACGTAATCATCCGGCTCCTGAACAAACGCCTCCATAACGACGTTCTCATTTCTTCTCACAACGCCCCTGCCGCCCAAGTTGCTCCGAAGGAAATCGTTCAGCTTCATTTCGGTCCTGTTAGTGCTTCCCTCCAGCAGAATATCCTCCACTCTGCTGCTCATGGTCCACTGTGGTCGCCGCTCCTCCACTCTTATTTGAGTCGCGGCGGGTTGGTCTGTCTCACCCTCAGACTCCGACCTCGCTCTCCTCCGAGGACCTCCTTGCGGCACAGCAGACGCTCGACTCCTGGCATTGCCACCTTGCACTCTATTGCGCTTTGGAGGCATTGTTTCTCCTTTTTTTATTGGTTGGATTGAGTTAAAGCTGATTACTGAACAACAAACGAGAGAGGAATAAAAAAGAAAATAGTCACAGAAATGACTGGCAGCCACAGCAAGAGCCATAAGCACGGTGTGACGGCACTGTACTCGATGCACAGGTACCACCGCAACGACGGCGAGTGGGTGCCATCCACCCAGCACAGTGTTGATGAGAGCAAACAACAACAACGTGGTGCGCACGGCGGGTTCGTCCACGCATACCGCTCGCCACGGTCCCGCACCCCTGTGGCACCGCCGTCACCGCGCACACTCTGCAAGAGGACGTGCGGGCATATCGCCCCTGACACACACAAACACACAAAAGTGGGAGGAGAATTCGGTGCAGCCACGGCCACACGCAAGGACTCCAAATCATACACACGCCACAACAGCGATGCATCGCTGTAATCTTTCACAGGGAAAATATATGTATATATGTATATATTTTTAATCGAAAATTTCTGCAATTTGCACAGTACAAAAGAGTGCCGTCACGCTGCCTTTCATATTGCATTTGTCATCTACATTCCCAATGCATAGCACCACAGATATTGCCCCTCCATGGTGAGAGCAAATGCCTTGTTTTGATTTCACCGCGCAGCCATCCGCCTGGGTGGGAAAAAGAGTAAAATCAGGCGTCCGTCCACCTGGAGGGAGGAAAAACTCCACCGCGGTGTCCTCCACGACGCAAACACTCCGCGTCCAGTGCCCGGTGTCGTGTGCGGGCTCCGCGAGGAGGTTTTGGGCACGCCACTGTGCCACATGGTGTGACCCCTCGAAACGTAACAGCGGACGTGTCTCCTTCCGGTCGCACTCGTGGCGGTGGCGGCATCCGCTGCCTCGCTGCGTACTGGTGGCGTCGACTACGATGCTGCAGTGTGATAGAGGATGTCCGGCAGGAGCGGTGCTGCGTTGGGTGGGCAGTGCCCTCCGCGGCGAGACACACAGCGCGACCCTTGACCGCTGCGCTCACGCACCTCCCTCCACTCCTCTCCCTCCATCCGGCAACCGCACAGCCGCCGGCACATTGTCCCCGAAACAACACACACGTAAAAACGTGGCAGCATATCTCTCGATAGAACAGAGTGACAGCTACACGCTGCAGCCATCGTGCCGACAAGTCCGACGCGGCCGCGCCCACACCCACAACAGCAGACAAAAAAAAAGAACTTCCACTCCGTGCCACGTCCTCGTGCGTGATGGTGCGGCATTTCAGAGCAATACAGCTACACGCCGTGCAGCATTCCCACAGGGGATGAGAGCCACGGCGCACTCTCAATGCATCTTCATTTTTCATTTCCGCGGAATGCAGCAGCTGCCAGCACCGAGTGCACGAGAAGCATCAAGCTGCACTGCAACATTTACGCCGTGCGGTTGTGTGTCTGCAGACACGCAAAGAGAAAAAAAAAGAGCCACGCACGTGGAGGAACAAAAAAAAAACGCAGCAGAGGTGCAAGACAGACAAAGAGAAAAAAAAGAAGGCAGCCAAAGCTCAAGATGGCACGGCAGCCCAACATGCGGCAACCCACAATACGCCTGCAGAAACAAAAAATAAAAACTTAAAATAAAAAACAAGAACACATTAAAACGCAAAGAACAGTCCCATTGAAGAAGTTTTTCACGCTCACAAAAAAAAAAATAATAATAACACAGTGACGCGGAAAAACAAAGAAAACACGTGTATATTCTTCCCGCAAAAGTAAAAATATATTTGCGTCAGCCGTTCAACCTACTGGTGTCCACACAACACCCACATTTCATTGGGACGTTCACTGCGTTGCTGCACATCTTTAATCCCTTCTTCATCACACCATCGTCGTGGCGCTCAATGCCGACTGCACGTGTCATCAACATACGGAAACATTAAAGAAATCCCGTCAATCTCAATATATTCCACTATATAAAAAAAAACAAGCATATAGAATAAAGCAAAAACGAATACCTCGCGGTGCTGTCCCGGGAGGGAGAGCACGCTTTTAAATAAAGAATTGCACAGGCGGAAAAAGCATATTCAAACCAAAAATAAAATATATAAAGTAAAAGGTACGTCCAAGCAAAACGTCAATTATTTCAGAGGGGTTCGTGGAGAGGTACATATTGCTCCCACTGGAAGCAGGGGTCCCGCCGCGTTACGCCCCGTAGAGGGCTGCAAAGGCAAAGCCGCACAGCCCCAGCAGCAGCACCCGCAACGCGCCCCCATGCGTAGAGCCTTTGCTCTTCGTGACCAGTTTTAGTTCATCTTCACTCAGTGGGCGATTGTACAGAAAGAAGCTCGTCAACGTCGCATTGCTGCCGCTGCCTCCCTCGTCGCCCCCAATGTAGAAGAATGAGACTTCAGCCCCCCGCGTCTCAGGTGTTCGTATCGTCTCTGGGCTTCCCACAATCACACCATCCACGTACACAGAGCCCCTGTGGCCGTCCTGCAGCATGAGTGCCGCTTGGTATTCTTTCCCCGGTTCCCAATTGCTGCCCGATGCTGTTTTTTATTCCGTAAAACACTGTCTCCCACCTACTGCCCGCGTTGTGCGACAGCCCAATGAAGTTCGTGCTGACGGGTGCATCCAGACCCGCACCCGGTAGAGGAGTGCTCAACTTCGGAAAATTTTGGGTGATCGCCGTCGCCACAATAGTGAAATCGCAGCTTACAAGGGTGTGCGGCCCATTATGCTCCCGGCTGCTCACGGGCGACGTTGTCCCAGACCCAAGCCCGTGAATTCAAACCCATCTTTGACCTTCATTGTATTCTTCGTCACAATTGCATTCACGCAAAGGTAATCGTCGATCCACGTGTCACCACCGGACAACGCGTTGGAAAAAAAATCCAACCAGAGCCGCCGTGGGTGTGAACAACTCAGAGAAGGAGGAATCCAGCTGTGCCAAACTCTTCAAGACGTAATTGATCATCTGTACCCTCTCCGTTAGTGGGACAAGTGAAATGGTGTTGCTTGCTTTAATAATCCCATCCTGTAAAAGGTACAACGCACCATCCGAGTACAGCAGGGTGTGGAAAAGTTCCAAGTTATTATCCATGGCAACAGTTCCAAAAGAAAACGTGCGGTTGTTTTCCGTGACCCAAAGATGGAACACATTTTCCTTTTTCCCCCCCGAGAAGTACCTTTCCAAGTGTACAGCATCACCTTCACTCCCTCAATGTTCGCGGTGATAGGGGCTTCCACAGGCAAATTGTCTTCCCGAAAGACTCCCAATCGTGAATTGGTCCAAACGCCTGAGAGTGTCCCAATGGCCTTCGTCCACGTTGCCCCCATGTCACGCGACTCAAACAAACTCTGGTCATCTTTACACTGAACGATCATGAAAATTTGTCTCCTATTTCATTCGGTGATGCTGGGGTTAAAGCATGCCGCAGGAGAAATGCCCTCTGGGAACACCCAGTTGTTGCCGTTGTCCGTCGAATAAGTGATCCTGGAGAAAGGTTGATTTTCCCCATTCCTCGCCCTCAGGGTAAACACAAGTGTGCCACCCTGCATCACAATGCCTGAGCCACCACCACCCTCAAAATCCGACAGGTTGCTTCTAATCCTTTGGGGGATGTGCCGTGAAAGCGACTTTGGTTCAGCCCAGTCGATCAATTTACTTTGCATGTCTTCATTGGAGTGCGTGGCATCACCCTCAACAAGTTGAATATCCCAGCCATCCGTATTCTAGCGACCATCATTTTTTTCACATATTGTAGCTCTCCACAAGTAGAAGCACTTTATTGTCCTTTGCAATCGCTGTGGGGTTGCAAGCAACACCAAAAAGATCCTCTTCATTCACTGTACTAAACAGTGTGCGTACCCTCCATTTATCCTTATTGTTCTCGGCGGCAATTAACGGCCACGTCTCCGCGGCGTTGATGTACCCCGCCACAATATCAGAAGGAAATACATTCAATCTATAGTGAGAGCCTTTATACTCGGTGTGACCTTCAGCAAATGCAATCGTCACTCCTCCAGCACGGACAAGAGAAGGCGCAGCAAATGAATCCCTCATTCCACTTTTGCCAGAACCACTTTTTGGTTCCACCTGCGTCTTCATCGGCACATAAATGTCAACCGGTTGTGGCATTCGCACGTCCCTTGACTTACCGCCCTTCTGCGTTAGCAGCTCCACATCCGCAGCATGACATCACGACTAGGAGCAGCACCGAGGAAGTAAACACAAGCCGGGACATGTTGGGCCTCTGCTGCTCACTCTCTTTTCCTTCCCTCCTCCTTCCGCTGGATCCGGTCACGCAGCAACGGTTGTGTGTGCGGGGTGCCTTCACTGCAACAACACGTGAGAGCATATAAATATGTGTGTGTGGGTGGTGTGTGTGCTGTTGGTCCTTCAGAGCCCTCGAATCTCACAGTAGCGTTTAGAGCTTGTTTTCCTTCTTTCCTAACGTCTGTGTTCAGGAAGTGGAGAGGAGGAAAGCAGCGGCAATAACATCAGTCACTTCAGTGGAAACCGGAGCAAGGCACCCACGCGGAGAGCTGGACACAAGCCAATCAGGAAGGAACAGCGGGGAAGACCATCGCCCACAGAAAAGAGCAGCAACACGGCAAGTCACGGCGGGCCGTCGGTGTGTGCGGGCCAGCCCTCACGCGGTGCAACACGCCACACCCAACAGGGAATGACAGACAGACAGGCGGAGGGAAATGAATGGATGCCGTCAAGAGGCACTCACAATCAACGTGGCCCGTGAGCATGCGGCCACTCTACGCAGGAACACAGGATGAGAGGGTGACAGGAGAAAAGCAAGAAGCACCATAACACACGCGGAAGAAGCAAACGACAGGCGGGAAAAAGCACCGCCAAGGCCCTCGCCCTGGCCGGCAACTCCACACCAGCCCTCACACACACACACCATCGCAGTGCTGTCAGTCCGCGGGTGAGAAGATTCGGCCCTCCACACAACAAACGCACACACCGCCAGCAGTCAACCACCAATGGACGAGGAAGAGAAGCGACACACCGCCACCGCCTCCAAGCTCCATCCCACGGCCAACGGCATACGGCCACAGCCCGCAGCCAACACACAGCGCACACGAAGCCAGCAATCACCCAAAGAGCCACACGCGGAAGCGGATCCTCATCCATCCACGACGCGGCGCCTCACTCCATGCGGTCACACGGAGTGCACTGTTCCCTCAATAGAACTTATTCGTCGTCCATCCCCTAAAGATACTTCTTTTAATGATGGGCCTTAGAACACAATAGAAGAAAATGGACAATGCAGTAGTACTGCGACAGCGCCAAACACAATGATTCCCTCATATCGGGCAATTCTCCAATTATGCCTCGTGTGCACACACAATCAACATACCATATGAAAACCACCCAATGTTTTTCACCAGAAATCAAACAACCCCTTTCCCTCCCCAATTTCTTCTGTCACTGTTATGTTCGATAGCGTTGGACAGTTCTGAAATCTGTGTGATATACTGCCGTCTGGTGCTGGTGCACCCGCACTGTATGCACACACAAAAATATCCAAAAATATATAAATCCCACAACATTTTTTTTACCAGAAATCAAAAACTACCCCTTTCCCTCCCCCAATTCTTTCTCCTACTTCGTTTTTTTTTTCTTTTTTTTGCACACTTCGGAGAGCTTCGTCTCTTCTAAAGTCTCTGGATGGTATTGACACTTGGTACTGGCGCACCTTTTCGTTCCAGAACGCCGCAATCTCTTTTTCCTCCTCGCTCAAATTATTGGCATTGACGGCATCACACCTCTGCCAGTCAGTCATCGGCATGTTGTCTGCGTGCTGCACATAAATAATCTCCCACGATACGTCTCGGGATAATTCCTCCCAACCATTAAAATACGCCGCCAGGCACTCAGTGAACTGCCTCACAGTGCTGGCGGTGGTGTGGCGCCCACCCGCCGTAGCCATCCGCAGCCCAACCAGCGTCATTGGATTGGACACCAAGAAACAAAAGGCGTCCTCCAGCGGAAAGTTTTGGACCGCCGGTATGTACAGCACCCCGTACTCCATCGAAATCCTCGTGACACCGCCTTCCAGTTTCCTTAATCCAACGGTGCGAGTGGGGTATCCTTGATGGTTTATTTTCAGCACTGAATCCTGTGCTTCATCACGTTCTGGTGACCTCAGCTCATTGAGTCCCTTTACTAATGCACTGACAAGCTCCCCATACATGAATGCGCGCAAACCTAATTGTTCCAGAGTTCGCGAAGCAAGAGCACCACGCGATCCCAATATTAGCAACAAAATATCCTTCGCACCAATTGCCTTTGCCAAACAGTCCGCAGTTCGAGACCCGATATCAGCACATATCGATGCATTGAGAAATACCTCAGCACCTTCATCTGTTCTTGCCCGGACGATCTTCACAATTTTGTGACACGGATCCTCAGAATACGATAGCTTACTTCCCCGTGAAAAGTACTCTTTCACAGTTACCTCGTTGATCGATTGCAATGCAAACCTCACCGCTCCACAGCGTTCCGTAAACGCCCCCTCATCAAAGATGTGACGTGGAATCGGTCCCAAAAGATACATGTGTTTTTCGACCATCTTCCAGTATTCCGCTTGTTTCTCTTTAGTCTCATCACGCGTTATCCAGGCGCACATCGCGTTCACATCCATCTCGTCGGGGCAATTCACGATGATTCACGCGGCTTGTAGTTGCTTCGCCCACTCATCATAGTTGGTTACCTTTGGCAATGACACCGCAATCATGCCCCATCCAGAAGTAGGCGCAAAATGTCTCGGTGGCGGCGTTCCCTCCTTTGCCACATCGTAGATAATATACACATTCCTCCCATGCCCCCTCAAACTTCTCAACTCCGAGATGCACATGTCCTCATCGCTCTATCTTGTCACCGCTCTGGTGGTATTGTCAAACACGTACGCATCTCCTCCACCAAAACAGTGGACTACCACTTGGAGTTTCTCGACATCGCAGTGCAGCAGCTGGTAGAGGAGGTACGAGCCGGCATTCATCGACTTCCCGATCCCGGGCGTCCCAACCAACACACGTCGCTCGGGCTTAAAGTCGGTCCCGCCGTGAGGGCTGAACCACGCGGTTAGATCGCCCTTGACGATCTGCCACACTCGCTCCACCTCACAGTTTACAAAAACATCCTTAGGAAGATCCTGTGTCGTATTCCACGAGTACGGCCATCCCTTCTCCGAGGCAAGCACCATCAACACAGAAGGTGCTGCACCGAATTGCTGCACAGCGTCATTCTTTTCTAAATTTTCGCCAACTTTCTTGTACGTCCATGAATGCGGTGGTTTCCCCTCCCTCACATCAATTACCGTCCCCTAGTCGCCAGAAACTTCCACGACATGGTGCCACCTCACATTGTACACAGGGTTGCCAAAGGAAAAAAGAAAAAAATGTGCCTCTTTCAAAATAAAAACTCAACCAAAAATGATTATTGTAAAAGTAAAAAAAAAAATGTTGCCAAAGCTTTTGCGGCTTCGTGAATAAAATGGCGGTAAAATAAAAGCCGCATTTAATTAAAAAGAAATGGGAAAATGATACATATATGCCTTGTTTCAATTAAGTAAAAAAATTGCTTATCTTCCCGCTGCAGTATTGCTGGACCAAGAGCAGCTCCACCCAAAGTATATTTCCGCATGCCCAAAGAGATATAAGATTTCTTTTGTTTTCCCCACGCAAAACCCTTTTTTTTTTTTTTTTTTTTTTTTTTTTTAGTTTCCCCTTTGATATACTACTATTTTCTCAAAGGACTGAGAAGCCAATCTGGATCAATTACTTTTCGGGGTGAGCAAAGGGCTCCAAACCGTCGAAAACGAGCTTCTCCATCGCAAGTAACTAATTTAACAAACAAATTACTCAATTGAGTCAAGCCGTCCCTCGTCATTTGGGGGGAAGATTTCAACTTAGAAAACCATGTTGTGTGATTCATCAATTCTGGCATTAGAGCAGCCCAACTCCTTTGACCGCCAGGAAGATGAATAACTGCAGGGTGGGCCACGACCTCGCCGTAAGGAATTTGAAAAAAATTGTGATGGTAATCAAGGTTCAGAATACCGTACGGTATGCGAAAATCAAGAGACACATTAGTAGTTCGTGTTAGGCTCCATACATACAACAGCGCCCAGATGCTCTGGTCACACCACCACTGGTCGGTTAATCCCAAAACCTTCTTATATGCCTTCAGTGCCTCTCGAATGGCCCACACCCGCCCTACCATTCCTCCGGCATTAAGGAAGAGGCCTTTCGCTGATGTGAAAGGCACCATGCCCTGATCTGCAGAGGCATTCATAGCTTCCCAAACTTTACTGTAGTACCAAACACACTTTCTAGCACGCTTTTGTGGTCCAGAAGAGATCAAAATTTTCATCAGTGGCGCAAAACATAGACTTTCAGAAGAAAACAACAAGGGGGCTTTCGCCTCCCCCCGATGCACCGCCGTGACGTTGAAGACGGCTGCGGTAGGTGCTGTTGCTTCCAAGAAACGATCCACAGCTTGTTTTACTTGGAAAGATCCAGTAATAAAAGTGTCACCACCATCAAACGCCACCACCACGTCTTCATCGCGCAGACCCTCATTATCAATGTAGTCGAGAATCCACAATGGTCTCTTCGCGTGATTGTATCGTTTTCCAAACCCTATCGATACCACAGACACTTCCGACAGAAGCGAACTCAGCAGCATCCGACACCATCCGGGAGATTTTCGTGTCTGAATAACAAGAAAGACAACCCGTGGTCTTTCTGACTCAGATTCGGCCTTAACAAACTGCACATCATCTTTTACCAACGTTTCTGAAAAGATGAGAGAAGAATCATTTTCCCAGTTGCTCGCAGCTATCAGCAATGCCAACACCAAAAAAAACTGCAGCAACAAAAACGCCCTTTTGAAAGTTTGATTCATCAGAATAAAATAAATTACGCGACGGCGCATTTAAAAAAATTTTTTAAGGTGTTACGGTGTTCTACTGAAGAGACAAACTTGGCAAAAAGGGAATTATAAACAAATAGTGCCAATGCCTTTTAAAAATAAGATGTCCAAAAACTAAATAAAGACAAAAAGGGAAAAAGGTAAAAATGCAGTGACGCGACTACACTGAAAAAAAAAACGGCAATAAAATGGATTGCAGGCGCCCTCACGTCGACGCGCACACCACATCCGAGTGGGCTGGGAGCACAGATCGAACCGCTCGGAAACACACGCATCAAATCCGTAAAACAAAGCCGCGTTGAATCGACAGGAACTCCCCGCCCAAAACAAATTTAAAAAGTAGCGTTTTTCAAGGGGGAATCCGCTTTTCCGACGGCGGCACGGACGCCTCGCAGGAATTTCTTGCAAATCTCCCTTCGCAGGTCCGCAAGAAAACGCAGCGGAATATAAAGAGAGCGCAAAGACGCAAGAAAAATAATCCTCCTAACCGACCAGGTGGCAGGCCGCCCTCGCGCAATTAAAAAAAACACAACTTCACTCCGGTCATGTGGTGGTGGTCGTCTCGCAACTATTTTTTTTCCTTCTCGTCGCAGTGCACATCCCCCTCCCACAAATCATTTGTTCGGGCCATGTTCCTGCGGCCAAACATCGCGCTGCTGGATCCCGCGGCAGAGTCCTCGGCACAGAAGTGAGGGGAGGAAGAGGGACCGCAGAAGGTGCGAGCAAATCCGAATTCGGTGGCGGTCGCTGCAGTGAGGATTGACGTCCCACGCGGTGTCCCTTTTCTAGGTCCGGTCCTCACCGTGCCATGCTCTCAGCGTGCGGTGCGCCGGCCGCGCCGAACATCCACACTTGCTTGCGTCTCACCGTCGCTCCCAGCCCCGTTCGTTGACTGCATCAGGGATGTCGCCATCCGGAGAAGGGCATAAGGACGTTGCATCCAACAAAACCTCAGAGGCACCCGGTGGGCCAACGACGACCGTCACTGCGGGATGTGCGGCCCTTCCGCTGCTCACCTCAAATCGCACTTCTACGCCTCCTCGAGCAGCAGCAGCATCATAAATACACCGGTCCACTAGAGGCCGTCACCAGCCATTGCAGGAAGACCACTGTGCCTCGGTGCTATGAAACCCGAATTGCATTGACGGGCCACTTCGGACAATCCCGTCGCATCCTCCCGCATTATGCGGAAACACATCCGTCGTGCATGTGTCCACCGCAGACAAATGAATCTGGTCCAAATATCCTCCAAATGGAATTCCCGTTTCCTCAAGCAATTCCTTCCCGTCATATAGAGATTCCAATAGAGACTCCTTCCACACTTCCTCATGCGCAAACACAATAAATAATTTCTCTCCTTTTTTTTATGTGTCATAAAAAAGCACTACTCAAATTAAATGTAAAGACTCTGGACATACAACATTAGCACACATTGTTTAAGCGCAAGGTTGAGTAGTCGGATCCATTTCCGTACAGAAGTTCACCAGCAACTAATGAGTCGTTCATGCCACTTTCCGGATGAAAGGAAGCGTCGTGATACCACCTTTCCCTAAATCACCTTCCGTGCATACCTTTTTCACTCCGTCCTTTGGGAGAGGGGAAAAATGGATATTACACTCACTAAAAATGCGACAGCAGGGGGTTTGTTTGGTTTTGATTGCTCTCCGAACGGCTGCCGCCGCCCCACCTACCCGCCAAAAATCAGCCAAATAATAAGTTAAAATCAACGGATGATAAATCCCTGAATACGCAAGAGTATGCGTCACAACTCACATCATGGTTTGGTTCCCACGGTCAATGAGAATCACCTGCACATGGTCGGAAAAGTGGACCTTCTTTGTTCTTGGTCTTTGTGTTGCTGACTTTGCCGGTTTTCTAGTTGCACGGGGCGTTTGGCAAAACCAAAACTTTAACGGATGAACTTCGACAGCGTTGCAGCAAAAAACGGACCTTTTCGCACGTCGCTTTCGTTTCTTTCCCTTGTTGTGGGCGGGTGCTATGGAGTGAAGTAGGATATCCCAAAAGCACGATATGGCACGCGCACCATCCGCCATCTTCTGCTCTTCTCCAAAACGCCCAGCCAAGAGCGGAGAAAAAAAATGAAAAATACGGAGATAGAAATTTAAAAAAAAAAATGCTTTGAAAGGAGTAAAGTAGCAAGACGGCCCAGCACAGAGCTGCGGCATGTTTGCATCTAGTGTCAAACAAAAATAAGAATAAAATTTCAAAAAATGAAACTTAATGTCGCTCTGGACAGAAATGGAACCGGGAAGCCCAAAATAATGGGTCACCCGCCAGCGCATCTTGAGGGTCAAGATACCGATAGTGTAACTCCTCGCTCGCGGCAATGTTTTTTGCGGCCCTCACAAGAACATAAAAGGGGCAATGATCCACGCTGATATCATCTTCAAAGACCTGGGGAAATGTCTTGGACCGTCGCAACAAGGTCCTGAGAGAATGCATTGTGTCCACGTACACTGCCACATTCGGTTCATCGTCATCGTGATTGATGAGATCCACAAATGGTACAAACGCTGGACCGCCAAACACCTCGTTCGAGCGAGGTACATCCACACAGCGGCTGCTGCATATGCCATGTGCGAGGCTCATGACTTCAACTGGTATATTCCAACCCAATTTTGACATGTCTTCGCAAAGAACGCCTATAATTGAATTGTTAAGAATTTTGATGATTTCTATCTTTGCGTGCGCCGACCTACCCAATCTGCGCTGGGTATCAGCGTCAATTTCCTGTTCGATGGAAATCCAGTGCAGATAGCTATTGAGAGAGCATTCCTCAAGCAGCAAAACAAGTGCACAAAACACGGTGGTGACAGCACTTAACTTGGGGTACTCCACCTGAACACCGTCGACTGCCACCGTGTATGATGATACGCCGTCCATAAGCGTCGGGCCCCACGGCGACGCAGCCGCGATGTTTGCCGCAATGCAGTGAAAAAAGGGAACGAAGCACAATAATTCGCCCTCATCCAAGCCAACAGAGTTTGCATCACAAAAAATTCCGTAAACATCTTTCGCGCGACTGACTTCGCGCTGCAGCGCAGGGTGCACTGCCACCCCCAGCCGCCTAAGAAGATGACGCCACATCAAAGGCGCAAGCACAGAGAAAAGGAAACAACGCTGAAATGCACAAAAAAAATGTCAAAAAAAAAAAGAAAAAAAGAAGCAGCTATAACAGAGTCAAAACCTTTTAAAACGTCTTCCCACGTAATAACTAAAACATGACAAAGTTTTTTGCCTTGTTGTGTGTGTTTGTGTGTGCTTTCACAATGAAACCACATATACACAAAAAAGGCAAAATGCAACGACACCCGTGTGTCAATCCTTATCCTTCTCAGAAGTTAAATGTGAAGCATTCGTAGGAGCGGAGGTTTGAAAAGCAGCTCGCGCCTTCTCAGCACGTTCACGCTGACGCGCTTCAATTGCATCAAACTTTGAAAAGAGTGCCGATTGCGCTTGAAGAGATGCCCCGCGGAGATTTACTTCTCCCTTGCGGTCATCCACCTCGTATCCCGCTATGCGATAGCGTTGCGCCATCTCTCGCTCCCTATCAAAGGAAACACGCATGTCTTCCGTAAGTTTCTGATAATAGGTCTTAAGTTCTACCTCTTTTGAGGCCAAGGCTACTTTTGCTTCTTGTTCTTCTTGCGCATGCTGCAGACGCATCCTCTGCTCGCGTTCTCCAAGTTCTCTTTCTCTCCGAGCAATATCCATCAAAAGATGCTGCTCCCGCTCATTGTGTCGCTGCTCCAACAGATTCATCTCATTTCGATATTGATCAAACCATCGTTCCTTGTCCTGTTCGATGCGTAAAACATTTGCCTGGTTATCTTTTTCCTCCTTTTCCTTCAATAATTTCATTTGTTTCAGAACTTCATTCTGTTGCTGGTGCTCAAATTCCATTACGCCCTGCCAGAATTTTGACAGCTGTTCCTCACGCTCCTTCATTTTTTTGATCATCACCTGCTGAATATTCGTTACTGCGTCTTTGAACCCCCGCAATATGTCCTTCTCACGCTCGTCATAGTAGTGGATGATATCCCTTCGATTTTCCTCAAAGACTGTGTATCGCTCCTGCAAGGCGCATTCCTGTTCCCGATTGGACTCACTTAGCCGCCGTCGAAGATCCCTCACCATCTCTGTGGCATGCTCCAAAGAAGCTTCAAGCTCCTTGATACGTATTTCTGCCATCATTCGACCTGCCTCCGCTACCGTCGCGCGGTCGTTCACATGCGCAACTCGCTGCTCAGCCTCTCGAAGCCGCATGCTAAGGCTGTAATTCGCATTCTCAAATTCTATGAGCTGTTGAGACTTCTTTGCAAGCAGACCTTTAACATTTTCGTTGGTAGATTGGAGGTCTTTATATTCGAATGAAAGCGCATCCAAAGCTTTACGCTGTTGGTTAATCATAGTCTCGGAGGCATCGCGATACGACGCCGCCTCCTGCTCGTGTGTGAGTTGAAGCTTCACCACCTGATCGTAAAAGGATGACATGCGAGAGACGGACTCTTCGGTTTTCCTCCTCAACTCCAGGAATGCATCCCAGACTACAGTATCATCGCTTGTTTTTAAGTGGTCCTTCTTACTCCCGCACTTTGGGCAGGGCATACATTTCACCTCTGGAGGGTTGCCCGGAGACCTCACGCGCAGCGGTGATAAAGAAAAATTTATCTCAGGCATCTCAGGCATCTCAGGCATCCTCCCTCCTGCATCCACAATAACTTGAGATGTGGGCGGTAAACATGGTGGCTGCAGAGGTAATTGCTGCGTCACGGTCTCCGCCTGTTGCGGTGGCTGTGGCACGGCATCCACAACAGATGTTGGATTATAAAACGGCGCCGTGACGGGGTGCGTTTCCACCGAGAACACAGATGTTGTTGGAAGACTTGCGTGCGCCTGCTTTTGCCTCGGCTGAGAGGCCCCTGTCTGCACCCTTTCACCCTCATTCGCTACCCCATCCCTGCCCCGCGGGTCTGTGCCCCAAGGGCTCGGGGGTGGCTGCCATCCGCCTCCCCGCTCCCGCCGTTCCGGATTTGTCGGCACCGTCCCCTGCACCTCATCATCGCTGTCAAAGAGGGCGTGCATGACTCCCGCTTGTGTCCCAGCCCCCCACACCACCCGGGTCGCTCACGTGCGTGAAAGCAAAAGAGAAAAAAGGAGTGGGCACGTAAAGATGTGCGCAAAAAAAGGAAAAAAGCTCATAAAAATGCAGAATTGGAAAGATTAAGCCAAAAACTTTTCTTCAGGCAGCATTTCCTCGCGCATTCTTTATTTATTTTCTTACTTCAATTCAAATTTATCACTCCCCTTCCCGGGCTTCTCTTCTTTCATTTACTCTTTTCTTCGTTTAACAAATACAAAAACATTTATTCGATATCATTTTTTTGTCTTGGCGCAAACCAAATTTGCCCATGATGTAAGACCGGGAGGCTTGGCCCCTTTTGAGGCCGAGTTGCCCAAGTGGGATGGAAGAAAAAATTCAAACGGGGGCGTAACACAACGGAGGTGACGATACGCCCGTTGCTGCCCTGACGGGTGAGTAAAATACACCTTGATGCGTTTCTTGCCATTTGCAATGGTCTCCTCCGCTCCACAGACAAATTCACCAGCAAAGTCCTGCAGTGCACGAGACACAACAATGGCGTTCACGTTCTCGCCATCCATGAGGATGACACGCCCGCAAACAACCTCTTTCCGGTCACAGATCTCATTAATAAAAGTTAATGGATTATTCCTCTCCGGATCCGCAAGGGCGTCACTAAGCAATGGAACCGGAATAGAAGTTCTTGTTGTCTTTGTAAGAAGGCATGATCGATTGGGTCCAGCATCAACAGCCTCGGAGTGAATATGGTAATATTGACAGAGGGAATGGATGGCCGCACGTTTCTCTGGGGACATCGGCTTCAACGACGACAATGTAACGTTGCTCAACACAAAACGCTCTAACTCCTCTTCAATTGTTCGAATCCAGGTCAGATGTTTGCTTCCAAAATCCCACAAGAATAAAGAATACTTTACTGTTGTCGTTGGCGCCGACGAAGGGGGTATTTTACTGAGACCGGCCAATACTTCAAGTCGCTGTTCAAATAGACAATTTGCGTTGCATTCTACATTCATTTTCTCACCTGAGTGCTCATGCACGTACAACAGTAATTTCTTGCATGTAAAATGTTGAGTGTTCCGCCCACACTGACAACGACACTCCACAGTCTCCAAACACTGCGGACACTTTTTCGAGGGGTGGCATTTTGCCCTACAGGCATGCCCACACTCAGCATGAACCTTCCCGCAGGGCTGTAGGCAAGGGTGACGCTCATCGACACACAAACCAGGATGGCAAACACGGGAACACTCATGACCACAAGACAACATTTTACCACATTTAGAACTGCAACAAACAAAAGAGGCACTGCAAGAAACATTCTTCAACAAGGTATGCCCCCCAGCACATAGTTTCTCCACAGGAAAAACACATGGAGGACAATCACCGTAGTGGCAATCGTGTTTTACTGGTGGATGATTGCAAGAAAGTGTAAGAGTGCAGGGTCGAGTGCATTTGGGTGGGGATGTTCCACAAGGCTGAGGCGGCATCAGAACTTCCGCCCCGCAGCGACAAACCAAGCGCTCCGAAACCACATGAACACACGAAGGACACATCCCACGATGGCACAGCTCCAGACAGGCATGGCCACACGGAAGTTTCCTATTGCATGTCCTGTTACACTGGTGCACAACACTATTGTATTGTTTGCGGTATGAGCAGCAAGTAACTCGACATTCATGCTTTCCACATGATAACTTTGTCTTGCAGACTATATTGCAACGAAATTCATCTTGTTTTGCACAAGGCACCAACTGTTGTGTGGCTCTGCAGACACATTTGGTCAGGACACGTTTCTCACATGGATTGCATTCGCCCTCATGACACAATGCCTGGCAAGTGTGACGTTGGCAGTCTAGTACACGTCCACAAACGTTACCACATGTAGGAATAGGGTCACTGCAATGCTTTCTCGTGACTGTTAAGGGCACTAAGCCGCAAGGGCATGTCACGATGATAGAAGGATCCCTGTCGCATGGGGGACAATTACCCGAATGACATATCAAGCCACAAAAGTGAACACCACAACGCAATGTTTTACCACACACCCTCCCGCACGAAAATGATGAAAAACCGCAGGGGAGTTCTCTTGTTTCCAACCCGCAGTAACACGTAGCCAAAGATTTTTCAGTACATGGTTCACAGGCCCCAATATGACACTTAGCTTTGCATTTGTGTATTAGACAATTGAGTGTCTTCAGGCATGTGTTATCGCACAATTTCTGTGGATCTGGCTGGCCACATCGCCAAGTATATGTTGTCGCCCCACAAGGACACGATTTTGGACCAGTAAAAGAAGAACATTCAGGGCATGGTCCAGGATGACACTGCACTGGACACGGGTGATGGCACAAGTGTCGTGTCTTGCCGCATGTCTGACCACAACTGTGTGGTGTAATATGCGGATCGTACGGTGGATCTCGCAACTTTCCACAAAAGCAATAATACTTCGATACAGGCTCTTGCGTTGCCTGACAATGTGGACAACGAAATGAGGTACCAATCCCACTTTCGTTCTGTTTTGCCCATTTTTTTATGCAGTAAAGATGAAAAATACGGAAGCAGTCATTGCATGACCAAACAGCAACGTCATGACGGATATTGCACAAACAGCTGGCACATTCGTAGCGCAAAAGAAGTAACTGCTCGATGATTTGCTTACTGCGGTCGGGAAGCACTCCAGAAGTATTCTCGTGGAACTTGTCTGCTCCCTCCAGACTCAAAAGCATTACTTATTAAAATAATAAGAGTAACCAGAAAACGATTGACCTGTATAAATGGATATATGCATGAGCCGAGCAGACAATCCAATTCTGCTTTTCTCTCAGGAATCCCAGCTATTACCGCTTCCTTTGAAGGGCGGAGTACACGGCCCTCAGTAATCGCCCCGGCGTGCTCCAAGTGCCGCATCGAAACAGGTACACACACAGACACAGGGAAAAAAAAAAAGAAAGGAAAAAGAAAAATTTCAAACATAATACCGCAACCACACCAAGCAAACAGGCAGCAAATCCATCAATTTATATGCATGCGAAGAAAAAAGGAGAGAAGAAAACACAAAAAAAAAAAATGGATAAAAGAATAATGACACGGACAAACAAACACACGCACGCAATTCCGCAAACCCTCTGCCCCCTCTCTCCCTCTTCTCGCGTCAATCCGTTGGCGATTCCTCCTCCATTTCGCGGCATCGTAGTTGATTTAACACCTGCAACATCTTTTCCCGCGCCGAAACTCTATCGGGTGCAGAACGCATCTCATCCACGCCGCGGAGCTCATTACTTTCTGTCAATAAATCCGACAACAGACGGCGAGAAGCATGAAATCCCGCGTGAAGAACATTGTGAAGCCTTCCGGCTCTTTTTGGTCCAAACCCTGGAAGGGAGGTCAAATCCTCAAGTGAAGCAGTGAGAAGCTCGGCAACGGAGCCATAGCGATGCGCGGCGCGAACAACGTCATTGCGCGTCATTAACTGAGGCGTTTGCGTGAAGGCCTCAATGAGTACTGGTATGGGCGCACTCTCTTTCTTGTTACTTAGTCGGTAATCCACGGAGCCCACAGAAAAAACAGCCAGACCCTCCAAATAGCTTGCACACTCCTCTTCTGTCCAACAAAGCATCACAGCGCAACGCAATTCCACGCTGCAGTGGAGATTGAGCCACGCCAACACATCTGGGCGTGGATCTGTCGAGTCCACCAGCAGTAAAAGAACAATGCGACGTCCAGCTGTGATGACCTGCGCATTGGCAAAAGAGATTCGCTGCGATACGGCTGCCCTGTATGATTCATCGCATAAACGGTTTAGGTCGTTTACGTACAAAACGCATGTTCTTCCGCAAACAAAGTCGCAAACGTCATTGTCCATCCCCTCCACTACATATCGGTGTCGTTGCATGAGGCGGATTATTTTCCCTCCTTTGCACGCCTCTGACACCATCACCGTGCCTCGTGGAAGTGGAGGCATTTTTCGTCTTAACTACAAAAAAAAAAAAAAAAAGAGAGAGAGACAGAAAGGGAAAAAGGGCAAAACAGCGGAGTGTGCATACATGTACATCTTTACGTATCCAGATTTGGTTGCCAAAGCACAAAAACATAAAAAGGAGGAAGCAGCCATGCATTCCCTGTTCTCCTAAAAAGAGAAAAGCCTAAATACGTATATATATGACTTTATGCTTCCTCTTTTTTCATAATTCGTAGAAATGGACGGAAATAAAGCCTTTAGCGTTTTTAACAGCGAATGGAAAAATAACAATTCATCCACAAGAAAAATAATATAAAATAAATAAATAAATAAATAAATAAATAATAATAGGGAATTATTGAGCCGCACAACCAACGCTTGGACCCTCATCCTCCTCCTTCGCTTCTTCCTCCAGCTCCCTGCGAAGGTGATCCAGCTCCTCTCTCGTCACATAACACACCTCTGCGTCATCGCACTGATGCAGATCCACACTTTTAGGTGGAGGAAGCGCCTTCCGCAAAGCATCCACCTGTGAAGACTCCAGTCTATTCGGAAAAGTGACATTAAATTTAATTACTAAGTCACCGTGCTGACCAGGACGCTGTCGCCGTGGCATGCCTTCCCCAAGCACAACTTTTACCTCCCCGGGCTGTGTGATCTCCCCTCTCTCACGCCGCACTATGAGCTCCCTACCGTCAAGATGCTTAAAAACAAACTGAAACCCACAAAGCGACTCCGCCAGTGTAATTGTGTGATTCATGTGAAGATCGTCCTCCTCACGCACAAAACGTTCATCCTTCATTTGTTCTAAGACAATGACAATATCGCCAGGCTCGCCCGTGTACGGATCGCAGCTTCCCTCTCCACGGAAAACAACTTCATCGTGATGACGCATGCCACGCTCCACGGGCACAGTCAAAAAAGATTCCACCTCCGTCGTTCTTTGGCCATGACACGCAGTGCAGACGTCTTTTGGATCCACCTTCAGTCCAGAGCCCCCGCATGCATCACAGGGTGCTGACATCTGTTGCATCATCATACCCATTTGGCGCACAATGAGCCGCGAGCCGTTTCCCCTACAACTCCGACAGACATTGTTTTTCCTGCTATTCGTGCCACGACCTTCACAATTTGGGCATGCGACGGCGCGTGAGTGTGGAAGCTCAAACGTCTTGCCATTGTACAGATCGCTTAACGTCACAGGCAATGCATAAGAAGCCTTCTGATTTCTA